AGCTCATAACAAACGAATGGATGACAGCAGAAAGCTGCATTTAGGCTCGTGGCAAAGGTGAGACGTTCAGCTTTAATTTAAGTATTCGATGTTTTAATTAGCATGCGTGGTTATCCTGAAATTAATGAAAACGCGAAGACGCTCCTTTTCAACAATGACACTTTAGACAGCTCATAACAAACGAATGGATAACAGCAGAAAGCTGAAACGCTCCTTTTCAGCAATGACACTTTAGACAGCTCATAACAAACGAATGGATAACAGCAGAAAGCTGCATTTAGGCTCGTGGCAAAGGTGAGACGTTCAGCTTTAATTTAAGTATTCGATGTTCTAATTAGCATGCGTGGTTATCCTGAAATTAATAAAAACGCAGAAGACGCTCCTTTTCAACAGTGACACTTTAGACAGCTCATAACAAACGAATGGATAACAGCAGAAAGCTGCATTTAGGCTCGTGGCAAAGGTGAGACGTTCAGCTTTAATTTAAGTATTCGATGTTCTAATTAGCATGCGTGGTTATCATGTAATTCTAGATAAAACTGGACAGTAACATTGTTTTTAGTATAGTCTATGCATGCGTTATAGAATTCTAGAATGGACTGGATGACTTAAATTGGCAGGCGGACATGTATTCAAGTAAAGAATCATGCGTAATTTTAACTATTTCGTATCTGATGATTATTACTTTTTTTTTATAAACATTGTCATTATTATTATGAATTGTTTCGAAACGGAGTGTTGGTTAAAATTGATGAAGAAAAATGGAGCAAAGTTGGCGTATATCACTAATGGAGAGTTCCAAACTCTGTCATTAGACGGTAATTGTATTAGTTAGGATCACTTAGCGGCTATTAGTTTAATAATCTCATTTTACTAAAATTACTTCGACAATTAGATCGGAAAAGCCGGATAACAGTGATAATTATTCGACGTAACATTCAGATTTCTTATTTAGTATTCAATTCGTTGCCATGGTTATTTGGGATAACGTCATGGAAACGACAGCAATTTGTTTTTTTTTTTTGATTGAGCGATTCTTGCAAATAATTAAACAATTGAACGGATATAACAACAACAAAAAAAGAATGAAAATCGATGGACTCACTAGATAGACGTCGCACAGTTCGTAGTAGAGGAAATTCTTGAGGGCCGCCGTTGCTAGATGGAAGTCGTGATCACGTATTCCCGCATCGACCTGCTCGACCATGCACGCCATCCTGCTGAGGATCCATCCGTCCATCGGATCGAAGACCCAGTCGGACCCAGATGTCTCACCACCACCACCGCCGTCGCCGACCTTCGCGATCTCCTCGCACCACTTGACCGTAAACTTGGTGGCCTGCCAGACCTTGTTTCCGAACATCCTGTTCGTCCTGCACTCTTGCACTTCGAAATTGATCGTGTGACCTGGAATATACAAAACGAACAAACAAAACGAAAATCAATTAAAAAAAAAAAAAAAAAACAAAGCCGTTAATCACATTTATACAATTGCTTCCTGCACTTAAAGCTAATAACTATTTAGTGGAATGAATTTAGTTACTAAATTTCAAATCGTGTAAATCAGCGTTTCTTTTTACACATATCTGTATGAAAAGAGGACCGCGACTACTGAAAGGTTAAGAACCACTGGTGTAGATTATTAAGAAGTATGTAGATAATGAGATGAAATGTACCTTTAATGTTATGTGAGAGCAGGGTGAAACGGAGAGCGTCCACGCCGCATTCAGGAATTCCGTCCGGGAACATTTTCCTCTGACCGACGACGGCCTTTTTGCACTCTTCCTCGCTCAAAAGTCCGGACGTTACGGCGCCGCGCGTTTGCCATTCCAAATCCTTTAATTAGAAACAAATTTAGAGGTAATTCGCAAGAAAGAGAGAACAAAAAAAAACCTTCAAAGTTTTCCCTTCGATGACGTCCTCAGGAGCAACGACGTTCCCAAGACTTTTCGACATCTTCCTTCCGCTGGAATCGCAGATGATGCCGTGCAGAAGAACCTTGTTGAAAGGCAATTGCCCCGTCAATTTCGTTCCTAACATGACCATCCGCGCCACCCAGAAGAACAGAATATCGTTTCCGGTTTCCATCAAACTAAGCGGATAGTTCGAGCTTATATCCTGCTTACAAAATTAAATGAATTATTCGTATTGATTCGTATTGATTTGGAAACCTTATCGGGCCATCCGGAGGCGGAAAATGGTAGAAGAGCTGAAGAAAACCAAGTGTCCAAAACATCATCCACTTGCGTCACCTCGATTACATCAGATTTAAGTATTTCGTGAGCTTTGTCTTTGGCTTCGGAAGCGTTCGATGCAACCACTTTGCACGTATCCGTACCATTCGTGCAATTGTAAATTGGAATCCGGTGACCCCACCAGAGTTGCCTGGAGATGCACCAATCCCTGATATTCTCCAACCACTCGAACCAGACTCGCTCGAACTGTTCGGGTTCGATCACCAAATCCCCAATCCGCACTGCATCGAGACACTGCACCGCCATCTCCTTGCAATCGACGAACCATTGCGGCTTCAGCAGAAGCTCCACCACGTCTTTGGATCTGCTGCAGATGGGAACTTTCATCGCGTGATCTTGGACGCCCCTGAACAGACCCGCGGCGTTCAATCCGATGATCACCGCATCCCTCGCCTCGAATCTGGGCAACCCGTCAAAGTCGCCTGCGAAACAAACGCGACCGTTTTCATCGATCACTTGGACGATCGGCAATCCTTGAGCTTTGGCCACAGCGAAATCGTTGTGATCGTGCGCTGGTGTTATTTTAACAGCTCCTACAAACAAATTTATTATATAACAATTAATTAATTACATTATATTTTTTTACCAGTTCCAAAATCGCGATCAACAAAGGTATCGGCTACAACCGGAATGCTTGCTTTACTGAAAGGATGTACGACGTGTCGACCGACGTAAGATGAATACCTCGGATCTTCCGGATGAACGGCGACTGCGACGTCACCTAAAATAGTTTCCGGTCTCGTCGTCGCCACAACAATCTCCTCGTCTACAAAACATAAACTGTTACTAATTGCTAGTTTCATGAATCAGAAATGAACAAATCACCAGAATCTTTCAGTCTGTAGGCGAAGCTGGTGAGCGTGCCGAAACGCACCGGCTTTTTGTAACCGGGAACCGTCACGTTCGTCGGACCGGAGATTTCCAGATGGTCCACCTCGATGTCCGATATCGCCGACTGCAGATCGCACGACCAATTCACCAATCTGTCCGCCTCGTAGACCAATCCGGATTCGTGCAATCTGACGAAGGCTTCGATCACTGCACGCGATTGCCGCTCGTCCATCGTGAACGCTTCCTTCTCCCAATCCAAAGATACTCCTAATCTCTTCAGCTGCTTCCCTAATCACCAAATAACAACAACAATACATTTCCGTTTCTTAATTTGAAATGTATCCATCTACCAATAGCATCGCTCTTCTCCTCCTTCCAACGCCACACCTCCTGCACGAACTCATCTCTCCCAATTTCCCGACGAGTTTTCCTCTTCTCTGACCACAGTTTCTTTTCCACGATGACTTGCGTTGCGATCCCCGCGTGATCCAAACCCGGAATCCACGACGTCTCCGCACCCTTCATGCGATTCCTATAATAAATATATATAAAAAAAAAAGTTATGCAATTTGCAAAAAGTTAAGTAAATTGTCTTTTAGCGCAATTAAACTGTAATCGAGTCGATTTGCGCGCGAATTCCTTCCGTTGCTCTCAAATGGATATGTATGGGGGGACGTTTATTTGGGCATAAATCCTGCACGAAACATCGGCGCTTCCCCATTTTTATTGCCCGGTCGAGCAGCAATAAAACGTTCCAGATGCTTCTGCACGGTAAAAATCTCATCAGACAAGAAAAACATAGTTCACATTCCTCGGACGGAGAATTGAAAACATGGAAAACTAACAGAAAATTTTCCACCTACGCTAACTCCAACTTCTAATACAACTTCTCCAAGACTTTAAAAAAGACTCCCCCTCAGTGATGTAAAACATTCGTTTTTTCGTCACTTCACTGTGATTGTTACTAATATTTATTTGTGTTCTATCTCTGTTTTCTTACTATTATTGTTGATGTTTTTTTTTTGTAAAACCTAATAACAGAAGGCTGAAAGAGGCTAAAGCCCATAACAGTCTACATTTTTATATCACACCCTATGTTATTGTAGTACATATATCTAAATAAAAAATTTAAAATTGAAAATTTTCCACAGAAATAAGATAAATTTGTATGAAAAGTAACAGGTTTCCGTTTTAAACGTAAATAATTCAATTATATCCTTAGGTTTTATTCTGGACTATTAGAAAAGATTTGTTAAAAGATCAGGATAAAAGATTATTTGAATTATTGTAAAGATCTTTTCATTTTTCTTTAAAAAAAAACATAATTTGTGATTAAGTTAATTAGTGGGAGTAAAAACAAAATCAAAGATTGAAGTAATATGTATGCAACACAAATAACAATCAACAAATTGTTACAAGTTATCTTAACTATACTAGTATTAATTTTACTAAATATATAATAATAATTTACTGTATACCTAAAGCTATTAACCAAATTAATTTTTAAAAAAATGATTAAATTCTTATAATTAGAAATGTCAGTTCTTCGATCTGTTAACATATTAATAAAATGCAAGAAATACGCTTAAGTCTAAATCTATAAAGTAGGATTAATCTGAAGATGTATTAGAACTTGATCTGTTATGTTATGTAATTTGGAAATGGAATAGTACCAGAGATGTCGCTACCGTCAACTCCTCAAAGCACTCTCGGATATTTCGAACGTCTAACAAGTTACTAGATATTGACAAAAGTTAGATCCTTCTCAAGTTTCAAATGGGAGTTGATGATCGGGTTTAATCTGAATTCATTTCGGAAGTCCACAGCCCACTTGTTACGACATTGGTGGACTTTACCAAACTGATCTCATTTTCAAACGAAGGGTCTCAACAATTTTTAACAAATATAATAATTAATTAGTTTACTTCTTATAACACCATGAGTATTTTGTTATAACATTGATGGGAGAACAACACATCATTTGTTGTTAGCAAAGAGAGAAGGTAATATTAATGTTTTTCTTGCAGATTGGAATATTTTCCTCCCTCTTCCATAAGTTCTTTAGTTAGGTGAAGAATTTGCAGATAATTAATTGCTAATTTAAGAGTGAATATTGAAATGTTTTTACCATTTCACGAGAACATCTTGGATGGCTGCCGTCAAAGCGTGTCCGAGATGAAGGGTTCCTGTCACATTCGGCGGTGGTAAAATTATATTGAATTTCTCTTTATCAGCAATCAGCGGCGGTTTGAAAAACTCATCTTTCGGTGGAACTCTTTCTATCACCTTCGGTTCATAAGCTTGCGCCAATTCTACAAATCAATAAATGATAATATCAAAATGTAACTATAGTTTTTAAACAAATGAAGAATGATAAAGCACCGCCATCTGAACGTTAAATTCAGAAGTCGATGTTCGTCGGCTGTTTTACCGGCGAAACGTGCGTTTCCCGTGCAGAAATGCCGATGGTAGCAAATGATGGCTCTCATCCACGTCGAACGACGATCACCGAACGCTCCGCATCTGAGCACCACAGACATTGTTCATCACATGCACTCGGTCTGTCCAAGAAGAACTCGTCCACAAATGTATGGAGGTTATGTTTACTAATCGACGACCTCGAAACGCTTACATCACTGATGGTCTGTTCAATTGGTTGCCTGTAGATTACATCATTCAAGTTATCTCATACAGCAGTGTTCTCATATTTTATTCATTTTTTCGGAAACGATATTAGATAGAATGGATCCAAAAGATGTATATTTGAGGAATGTACCTAGTATTCACGCATTAGTATATTTTCCCGCACTTGATTATGCAATAAAATCATACAAAAGTTTATTAGTTTTCGAGTTATTCGAAAATCTTTTTTATCAAAATTCAATTGGAAAACACTGATTTCTATCAAAATTCTATTGGAAAACACCGATTTTTATCAAAATTCAATTGGAAAACACTGATTTCTATCAAAATTCAATTGGAAAACATCGATTTTTATCAAAATTCAATTGGAAAACACAAATTTTTATCAAAATTCAAGTAGAAAACATCTATTTCTATCAAAATTCTATTTGAAAACACTGATTTTTAACAATAACCAATCGAAAACAGTAATTTTAACAACATCCAATTGGAAGTAACGTTCGAAAAAACAGTGTTTCCACAGTTCATTGATTTTCTCTGATACTTTTCTCGGATATGAAAGCTGCAGAAAGTAATCGTACATTGTTTTGGTATCATTTGACTGTAATTCTTTGCAAACAATTAAAAGAAATGAATAATTAATGTGTTGCACCGAATCGATAAAATCACTAAATAAAATGGATATTTTAATAATTCATTAAAAAATTCTTAAGAATGATTCTTTCGCTTTTGTTTGCTATTAAATAAGTTAATAATAGGTCAATTAATAAAAAAGTTATTAAACTTTAATGCGTTGGCGGTTTTCGTGAATCGCCCATGATTGGGGTTATTTTCCCCAACTCATTTGTGAAATACAAAAGTTTGTTAATCAATTATGAGGACACCATTGCAGCTACAAATTAATATTTGCACTCATTTTAATCCCTGTATATTCAAGATCAATATCCATATTTAACATTCTTCTGGGAGTTCATGTTTACGAAAATACAGCCCATTTTCGAAGACGTTTAGCCAGCAGGTATTTGCGAAACAACAAAGTTTGTTAATTAATTATGAATACGCTATAGTAGCTATAATCCAATATTTACGCTCATTTCAATCTACGTATATTTAAGATCAACATGCATATCTAACATTCTTGTGAGAGCTAACTTTTACGAAAATACAGGCCATTTGCGAAGACGTTATTTTCCCAACTCATTTGTGAAATACCAAAGTTTGTTAATCAATTATTAGAACACCATTGCAGCTACAATTTAACATTTATGCTCATTTTAATCCGTGTATATTCAAGATCAAGATCCATGTATAACATTCTTCTGGGAGCTCATGTTTACGAAAATACTGGCCATTATCTAAGACGTTGTTTTCCTATTTGTTCATCAAAGTGTAATTGTATGTTTAGTTGCCTGCACTTCAGGCGCAAAATAAATATTCAAATTTTTGTGACAGCAGGCGCCATCTGTTAGCAATATTTCAAAGGCAATACAGGGCATTTTCGAAAAAGTTATTTCTCCAACTCATTTGTGAAATACCAAAGTTTGTTAATCAATTATGAGGACACCATTGCAGCTACAAATTAATATTTGCTCTCATTTTAATCCCTGTATATTCAAGATCAACATCCATATCTAACTTTCTTCTGGAAGCTAATGTTTACGAAAATACAGACCATTTTCGAAGACGTTATTATCCCAAACTCATTTGTGAAATACCAAAGTTTGTTAATCAATTATGAGAACACCATTGCAGCTACAAATTAACATTTGTGCTCATTTTAATCCGTATATATTCAAGATCAACACCCATTTATAACATACTTCTGGGAGTTCATATTTACGAAAATACAGACCATTTTCGAAGACGTTATTATCCCAAACTCATTTGTGAAATACCAAAGTTTGTTAATCAATTATTACAACACCATTGCAGCTACAATTTAACATTTATGCTCATTTTAATCAGTGTATATTCAAGATCGATGTTCATCTACAACATTCTTCTGGGAGCTCATATTTACGTAAATACAGACCATTTTCAAAGACGTTGTTTTCCTATTTGTCCATCAAAGTGTATATGTGTGTTTGGATGCCTGCACTGCAGGCGCAAAATAAATATTCAAATTTTTGTGACAGCATGCGCCATCTGTTAGCAATATTTCAAAGGCAATACAGGGCATTTTCGAAAAAGTTATTTCTCCAACTCATTTGTGAAATACCAAAGTTTATTAATCAATTATGAGGACACTATTGCAGCTATAAACTTACATTTGCACTCATTTTAATCCGTGTATATTAAAGATCAACATCCATATATAATATTCTTCTGGGAGCTCATGTAAGCGAAAATACAGACCATTTTCGAAGACGTTATTTTCACCAAATTATTTGTGAAATACCAAACTTTGTTAATCAATTATGAGGACACCATTGCAGCTACAAATTAACATTGGCGCACATTTTAATCCGTGTATATTCAAGATCAATATTCATTTGTAACATTCTTCTGGGAATTCATGGTTACGAAAATACAGACCATTTTCGAAGACGTTATTTTCACCAAATTATTTGTGAAATACCAAACTTTGTTAATTAATTATGAGGACACCATTGTAGCTACAAATTAACATTTGTGCTCATTTTAATCCTTGTATATTCAAGACCAACATCAATGTATAACATTCTTCTGGGAGCTCATGTTTACGAAAATACAAACCATTTTCGAAGACGTTATTTTCCCGAAATCATTTGTGAAATACCAAAGTTTGTTAATCAATTATGAGGACACCATTGCAGCTACAATTTAACATTTGCGCTCATTTTAATCCGTGTATATTCAAGATCAACATATATGGATGTTTACGAAAATATAGGCCATTTTTGAAAACGTTATTTTCCCTAATCATTTGTGAAATACCAAAGTTTGTTAATCAATTATGAGGACACCATTGCAGCTACAATTTAATATTTGTGCTCATTTTAATCCGTGTATATTCAAGATCAACATCCAGGTATAACATTCTTCTAGGAACTTATGTTTACGGAAATACAGACCATTTTCGAAAACGTTAATATTCCTAACTCATTTGTGAATTACCAAAGTTTGTTAATCAATTCTGAAGACACCATTGCAGGTACAAATTAACATTTGTACTCATTTTAATCCGTGTATATTTAAGATCAACATCCATATATAACATTCTTTTAGGAGCCTATGTTTCCGAAAATACAGGCCATTATCTAAGACGTTGTTTTCCTATTTGTTCATCAAGTTGTGTCTGAGTGCATTAGTATATGTGGTCATAGCACTGGACTAGTAAATTTCCATGATTTTTACAGAATTTGATCATGAATCTGAATGCAAATTTAATGAAGAACGTACATTTTGAATAAATGTTGGAGTTCATTCATCAAACTTTGTTTCACTACAGAAAAGATAGAAGACAACACACAACAAATGTTAAATGCACTTTATTTATTTATTTCATGTGTTTATTTTAAATGAATGAAAAAGAAAAGTTATGGTAAGTGAGGGAAAAGGACAGACAAGTACAACAGAATGTGCACTAGCATTTAATCATCAGCTTCGAGATTTATATGACTGCCAAACTTTCCATAAAGCATCGACTTCAGATCGGTCATCATCTCCTTCAACTTATTGCCCTCCATTTTCAGTACGTTGATCTCCTGCTCCACTTTGCTTTTAGCTTCCTTCAAACATTCCTTGAAACCATCATTTATTAATTATTATTTATAAAGTAATTAGTTTAGAGTCTTACTTGTGTCTTTTCACAATCCTGGTAGATGAAGACCTCACCCACCAAATAAGGAACCTTCTCTTCATCATCGTACAGAGCCACTTCATCACAGGCTTCCTCGATGTTCGTAAGATCACCCTGAAAAAAGATTGAATTTAGATTATCGTTATTTGGATGGAAGGAAACAATTTACCTCTTTCACTTTGATTTCTTCTTTGAGATCCTCGCGCCTTGCGTTTAATCTGGCGAATTTATTGATTCTTTGTTGATCTTCAAAGGTGATGTGAACATCTGAGTCCTGCAACCAAGATTTTCGTTAGTTATTGATTGGTTAGTGCCTGGATTTTAGGGTCGATTTACTTACCGGTTGGAAAGTTCCTTTATTCGAGGACATTTTTGCAGAATTTACAGGATATTTCCTAGTATTTATTACTAATAATACACACACCCCACTTGCATGTACAAATAAGGTTATATTAATTTTTGACAAGTCTAATTTGTTTTAACACCGATAGATGGAAATTGAGTTACGGTTAAAAATAAGTTAAGAAAATTAGAAAGAAAATCAAAATTAAGTGAGAATTAATCAATTAAATAATCAAATTTGTTTATAATTACTATAGATATAAATATAAGATATAAATTGTAAAATTAAAATTTTGTGGAGTATAGGCAACCAAATGTACACGATGTTTCAAATTTAATTTATAGATAATAATTAACCGGATTAAACGATTATTAATTGTAATCATTAAATAACAATATTTGTTTTAAATGAAAACTCTTAGTTATAATTTGAGAACTCTGTTGTTGTTGTTGTTTTAATGATGCTTTGTTAAGTGAGTGAAGAAAATGCATGTTAATTGTGCGTTGTGAGGATTTATGGAATCATTTAGTGTGAAATATCGCGGCGTGAATAAGGGATAATAATAAATTTCAGCGAGAGCGCGCGAAATAAATCTCGCGGATCAAAGTTTGCCTGGCCAGTAATAGTCCGAGCGGAATTCTAATTGCAATTATAAATGCGGGCAGAGGAATACACGGCTTTCCGCACAATTCCAGCGATAAAGAATGAGCAAATGAAAGAAAATGGAGTTTCCAAAAAAAGTCTACAATTTCAAACACACACACACTTGGCAACTGCATTAACTCAAGCTCAACATCGCATTCAGTCATCTCGCTTGTTTCATGATCTACAACGCTACGCATCGGGAAATAGCTTTGACGATCTTATTACCAGAATTAAGTTGGAATACTAAATTTGCTTAACCTGGTTTTATAATGATCCTTGAATTGTTTTATTTATGTCTCCATGTTCACATTTTATTGCTTCAACTTTGATAGGAAATTAAAATAAATCTATATAATCTACAAAAATAACTTAATACTCGCTTAATTCTCTACAGTTTTGGCTTTAAGATTCAATTTTAATATTAATAATGGAATTTATGGTTTTCGAGATATTGAAGAAAATTTGAAGACACTGATTTTTGAAATTTTATTATATAGACTTTAACAACAAATCTACAAGAGATACAACATTATTGTTATACTTCTTACATTTTCTATAGTTTTAACTTCAAAATTAATGTGTAATATAATTAATGGAGAAATTTAAATCATTTGCATATAATTTCATCATTATTTTGACAGAAAATTATAGGAAATCTGCAAAAGATACAACTTGATACTTATACTCATTTGATTCCCTATAGTTTTAACTTTAATACGGATTTTTGATATAATTAATAGAATTCATGGTTATGTAGATATGAATGAATATTTGTAGACACTTTTTTTTCAAATGTTTAATATTTTACTACGAAGAATTTCATAGCAAATTATAACAAATCTACAAGATATACAACTTAATACTTACACTCCTTTCATTCCCTACAGTTTTAGCTTCAATATGCATGTTTAATATAATTAATGAAATTCACGGTTGTCTAGATATAGATGAAAATTTGAAGACACTTTTTCAAATGTTTGAAATTTCATTACGTCCATTTTCACAGCAAATTGCAACAAATCTACAAGAGATACAATATTATAGTTATACTTACTACATTTTCTATAGTTTTAGCTTTAATACGGATTTTTAATTTAATTAATAGAATTCATGGTTGTTTAGATATGAATGAATATGAATGAATATTTGAAGACACTTCTTTTTCAAATGTTTAAAATTTCATTATATCTATTTTCACAGCAATTTACAACAAATCTACAAGAGATACAACTTAATACTTACACTCCTTTCATTCCCTACAGTTTTAGCTCTAATATGCATGTTTAATATAATTAATGAAATTTACGGTTGTCTAGATATAGATGAAAATTTGAAGATACTTCTTTTTCAAATGTTTGAAATTCTATTACGACGATTTTCACAGCAAATTACATCAAATCTGCAAGAGATACAACTTAATACTTACACTCCTTTCATTCCCTACAGTTTTAGCTTTAATAAGCATGTTTAATATAATTAATGAAATTCATGGTTGTCTAGATATAATTAATATTTGAAGACACTTTTTTTTCAAATGTTTAATATTTTATTACGACGATTTTCACAGCAAATTACAACAAATTTACAAGAGATACGACTTAACACTTATACTCCTTTCATTCCCTATAGTTTTAGCTTTAATATGCATGTTTAATATAATTAATGAAATTCACGGTTGTCTAGATATAGATGGAAATTTGAAGACACTTCTTTTTCAAATGTTTAAAATTTTTATACGACCATTTTCACAGCAAATTACAACACATCTACAAGAGATACAACTTAATACTTACACTCCTTCCATTCCCTATAGTTTTAGCTTTAATATGCATGTTTAATATAATTGATGAAATTCATGGTTGTCTAGATATAGATGAAAATTTGAAGACACTTCTTTTTCAAATGTTTGAAATTTTTATACGACGATTTTCACAGCAAATTACAACAAATCTAGAAGAGATACAACTTAACATTTATACTCCTTTCATTCCCTATAGTTTTAGCTTTAATATGTATGTTTAATATAATTGATGAAATTTACAGTTGTCTAGATATTGAAGAAAATTTGAAGACACTTTTTTAAAATGTTTGAAAACAAATTACAAGAAATCTATAAGAGATATAACATTATAGTTATACTTATTACATTTTCTATACTTTGGTTTTTTACGGATACGGACTTTTAATTTAATTAATATAATTAATTTTGTTGTATGTTGTATGTAGACAATGAATGAATATTTGAAGACACTTCTTTTTAAAATTTTATTACGACGATTTTCACAGCAAATTACAACAAATCTACAAGAGATACAATTAAATACTTACACTTCTGTTATTCCCTATAATTTTAGTTTTATATAAATAATAGAGTTCATAGTTGTCTGATATAGATGAAAATTTGAATTGATTACACTAATTTTTTGAGACAAAAAATGTATTTACATTATTTACATTATCTTTATCAGCGAATTTAAATGAATCTACAAGAGATAGAATTTTGCAATTACATTCATTTTGTTAATTGTAAATCATGATACAATAATCATCTTTAAAATTTCTTATGATATTCATAGTTATTGACATTTAGAAAAAAATGTAAATAATGCTAAAAAATATCATTACTTCATCTTTTCTAGTGAATTACAAGAAATCTACAAGAGATACAATATTGCACTTACACTCATTTTATTCCTTGTACATCAACTTTAAAATTAGTGATGGTATTCATGGTTGTAATGATATAGAAGCAAGTGTAAACTGATTTTCGAACTCTAAAAATTTCATGACTTTCACAGCGAATTACAAGAAATCTGCAAGAGATGGAACAACAACGCTATACTTATTTTATTCCCTATAACTTTAGCTTTAATATGAATGTTTTACATTAACAATAGTATTATTGGTTATCGAGTAATAGAAAATTGAAATAAATAATAAATGGAATTAAATAAATAAATAAAACTAAACGAGTTGGACATTGTAAATTGTAAATATTTTGCGAGCATAGATAAGAACTACTTCAGTCTTCGGAATGCGTTCGTCGAATTGTCGCTGGAAAGATAACAGTGAAATTCGTGCCTGCTGTATAGTTTCTCTTACATATATATATATTTTGTATGTCGAGCAAAAATAAGAAGTATGTTAAATATGTGATCGAGTGTCGAGGCTTTGTAGGTAAGGTCGGGATGGGCGCAAAACGTAGATAAAAATAAAACGGTGCGAGTTTGCGGAAAATTATGATTTCCTGTTAAATAGCTTAGAGATCGCGAGGGCAATGTTTGGCGTCCCGAAATGGGTTACTCCAGGTCATGTTTGCTTCTTGGCTGCTTTTCCTCATCCTCCTTCTACTCATCATCATCATCTGCAATCCAATGATTTCCTCACCAAAGCCAATCCAACTGAAGTGAAAAGTGAAACGAAGACGAGAAAAGAGGAACCCTTTTTTTCGCTGAAACAGAGGAAAGGAAAAGCCATTAAGTTATTTCGAAAGACGAGTAAAAGAAAGAAACACGAAGTAATCCTGAGAACGCAGTCGTCTTCCTCGCAGTTTGCGAGTTTGATTAAGCGATTTGGAATACGTCCAGGCCACATCAAAACCACTCAGTTGCATTACAAAATTAGGCGAAAACGCGACGCCTTCCGGTCCAAGACCTCCTCCATCCGACAGAAAAAGAAACCGAATAAATAACCAAAGATTGGGCGAATATATCATAGAGATTACGTAACTTTATGTATACACTTCTTGTTTCGTTTTTTCTTTTTGTAATTTTATTTATACGAATTATATATATTTTCTATCCGGATGGGTGTATTTAAAGCGTCGCGACGCTCCGGTTTCTGCGCGCGGCTAAGCCGATATAAATCAAACGACGTTTGCCGTGCGCCGGAAACGCTGCGAACATGTTTATATCCTTAATTACTCTCTCACTTTTTCTCCCTGCGAAATTTATGAAACGCGCGCTCGGTCTCATTCCTATGGAAGAATCATGACGAGAAAGCGTACGAAATGTTAAGTTACGTATCCTTCCTCCTGATAACGCAGACCCTTTTCGTACAAAATCTGAGAATCGTCCTGTTTTAAATTTAGAACGAAGTGGAGAAATTTATATATATATATATTTAAAAAAAAATCCAGTGAGATTTTCTGCTTTTAAAATTAAACGGCGATAAATTATTTTCGGATAAACTCGGATCTGCTTAGCAACATTTTTCCAAATAGAACAACACACAGTTGCGCGCCGCTTCTCTTCTTCGCACATTTATTATACATAACATAAACTTGCTTAACTACACTTAAAAACTAAAAACATTTCAACGTTTGTAAAATTTATAACGATAAATAATAACGTTCTAATTATACGATATTGTGATGTTTCGCATCGAATTACTCAATTAAAGTAATTGAAGCATTTAATACGCTTTTATTTGCATCTTTTACTTTACTTGTAACATTTATAGTTTTCCAGAAATTCAATAAAAAGTTTTTTCTTGTATTAGTTCTACTTCGACAGCGAATTACACCATAACCATAAAAGTTACGCTTATAACCAATTTTCACAGCAAATTACAACAAATCTACAACTTAATACTTAGACTCTTTTCATTCCCTATAGTTTTAGCTTTAATATGCACGTTTAATATAATTAATGAAATTCACGGTTGTCTAGATATAGATGAAAACTTGAAGACACTTCCTTTTCAAATGTTTGAAATTTTATTACGACGATTTTCACAGCAAATTACAACAAATCTACAAGAGATACAACTTAATACTTACAGTCCTTCAATTCCCTATAGTTTTAGCTTTAATATGCATGTTTAATATAATTGATGAAATTCACGGTTGTCTAGATATAGATGAAAATTTGAAGACACTTCTTTTTCAAATTTACACCATAACCATAAAGGTTACGTTTATAACCAACTGTAGTATTTGTAACGCATAACATTAGCTTTTATTTACTTCTAGAACTTTTCATGTACCATTCGTAGTTTTCAAATAATTTAATAAAATGTAATTACACATTTTTTTTTTGAAACATTATTATAACTTTGACAGCGAATTACACCATAACCATAAAAGTTTCGTTTATAACCAACTACAGTTTTTTCTAACGCATAACATTAGCTTTTATTTACTTCTTTAATTTTTCATGTACCATTCGTAGTTTTCAAATAATTTAATAAAATGTAATCATACATTTCTTTAAAGATTAATAAAACTTTGACAGTGAATTACACATTAACCAGAAAAGTTACGTTTATAACCAACTACAGTTTTTTGTAACGCATAATATTAGCTTTTATTTACTTCTTTAATTTTTCATGTGCCATTCGTAGTTTTCAAACAATTTAATAAAATGTAATTACACAATTTTTCTTAAAAAA